GGCTGCGTGATGGAGCCCACTGCTTCTCCTTTAGGACCCTGATGACAAGAACAGACAGAGAACAACACATCAAAAACTGTAACAGTGTTGAAGGGGTGATGTGTGTAACATGTTCTAAATTACAGAATGCTTGACGATGTTATTAGAAACACTTTCACTCACTTGGCATGTTCACACATTTTGTCACTTTATAAACAAAAATACATAATTTCATGCATATGAGGCATAAAATGGACAGATGCACAGTGAATAAGGAGCCTATTTTTGTAGTGAAAATGAGGAGCAGGGAGAAGCAGAACAAAGACAAACACGACGCTCACTAATTGAGTGATGAATACCAAATCACAGCTCGAGTGCACGACTAAAAGCTGGACGCACATGAACAAATGCTGCATGTGAGCTGCCAAATATAAAAATGGCTTCCCGATGAATAATTTTTCTTTTGTCTGTTTGAAATTAAACCAATATATGCTCCTAATTATGAGGCATTATGCACATGGGGGCAATGAGTGATAATTGTATTTCCAGCGCATGGAACAAAGCAGACTGTTTTAATAACCTCCATCTCTCTTACTGACTCTTGCTGTTAATCAGTTTGCATTTTGTTTTCATCTCTGGAGGACAAAACAAGCTGGACTCTACATGGATCTGTATCAACATCATGATTACAACTGACACGTCCACCATGCGGTACACCGGTACCCCCCGTCACTGGGGGCTTTGAATAGTGAAGTGTAGTTTTCAAGATGAATGTTTCTGGACTGGAATTGAACACAGGATGTAAGTGAACCTAAATGTTTTTGGTGCAAGATACTCAAGGGGGCAGGAGTTACACTGTGGAGAAGAAGAGAGGTAGGATTATTTTGGTTTAGCTTGTCCAAGGCTGCACTGACTGACAGATACTGAAGAAGGGAGGAGCAATTTTATCCATGACCAGGTGCACTGGTGGAGCCAGGGGGTGGCCAGTGGTGGCCTGAGCTACCATAGATTGTTCTTTGGACACCCCAATCATTTGAGGAAACTATACTTATATAAAGCTGTATATAAACTAGAAAGCATAGTTTCCTGAAATGACAGGGTGGTCCATTTACATATACCGTAATGTCCGGACTACTGAGCGCACCTGAATGTAAGCTGCGCCCACTAAAAAAATAATAAAATAAAATGATAATTTTGTACATATATAGGCCACGCTTGTCTATAAGCTGTGGGTGTCCATGTTGTAACAAGATATTTACATAGATTTTTAAAAAACTTAAATTAAATATGTATGAGTAACGTACACAAATACTAGGCTAAACTTTTTTTTTTCTGAACAGTGCCTATAACGCGTCTGGTAAAAAAAAAGTACAGTAGCCGACCAGGAAGTCATTGATAGCTATCTTCATCTTCCTCCTGTACAGTGTGCCCATAAGCTTGTGCTGTCCTCTTCATCACACAGCAGCCTGCCTGCATCCCACTGAGTTCAGAGTGACATTTTAAATGCACAATTCATTCAGAGTGGCTGCAAATACTTCATTGTGAAGTAACTTGAGCAGTAAGAAACTTATTTTCCCCCCTCCCTGAGGGAACAACAAAATTACTGAACATATCACAGTGGACGATGAGGGAGGCCAATGTTCCCTCTTCCCCTCCCACTGTGACATGTTCAGTAATTTCATTGGTCAGTTTTGTTTTTTTTAACCTTTATTTATAAAGGTATTCTCGTTGAGTCATGAGGACCCACTCCCCAAGACAGACATGTATTGGGCAGCTATGCGAGTGCCCGGGCGTGACGAGGATGTTTTGGCAGCATGAAGCTCGTTAGCCCATCAAAAAATAAATAAATAAATAAATAAATTCATAAATTAGCCACAGCATTGTATAAGCTAGTGTTTAAAGCGTGTGAAAAAAGTAGTGGCTTATAGTCGGTAAATTACGGTATATACTATATATATATATATATATATATATATATATATATAATATAATAAATATATATAGTGCCTTGCGAAAGTATTCGGACCCCTTGAACTTTTCAACCTTTAGCCACATTTCAGGCTTCAAACATAAAGATATAAAATGTTAATATTTTGTGAAGAATCAACAACAAGTGGGACACAATCGTCAAGTGGAATGAAATTTATTGGATGTGTCGAATTTTTTAACAAATAAAAAACTGAAAAGTGGGGCGTGCAATATTATTCGGCCCCCTTGCATTAATACTTTGTAGCTCCGCCTTTTGCTGCAGTTCCAGCTGCAAGTCTCTTGGGGTTTGTCTCTATCAGTGTTGAACATGGAGACACTGAAATTCTGCCCATTCTTCTTTGCAAAACAGCTGGAGCTCAGTGAGGTTGGATGGAGAGCGTTTGTGAACAGCAGTCTTCAGCTCTTTCCACAGATTCTCGATTTGATTCAGGTCTGGACTTTGACTTGGCCATTCCATCACCTGGATACGTTTATTTGTGAACCATTCCATTGTAGATGTGTCTTTATGTTTTGGATCATTGTCTTGTTGGAAGATAAATCTCCGTCCCAGTCTCAGGTCTCTTGCAGACTCAAACAGGTTTTCTTCCAGAATGGTCCTGTATTTGGCTCCATCCATCTTCCCATAAATTCTGACCATCTTTCCTGTCCCTGCTGACGAAAAGCAGGCCCAAACCATGATGCTGCCACCACCATGTTTGACAGTGGGGATGGTGTGTTCAGGGTGATGAGCTGTGCTGTTTTTATGCCAAACACATCATTTTGCATTGTGGCCAAACAGTTTGATTTTGGTTTCATGTGACCAGAGCACCTTCTTCCACATGTTTGGTGTCTCCCAGGTGCTTGTGACAAACTTTAAACAAAACTTTTTATGGATATCTTTGAGAAATGGCTTTCTTCTTGCCACTCTTCCATAAAGGCCAGATTTGTGCAGTGTACGACTGATTGTTGTCCTATGGACAGACTCTCCCACCTCAGCTGTAGATCTCTGCAGTTCATCCAGAGTGATCATGGGCCTCTTGGCTGCATCTCTGATCAGTCTTCTCCTTGTTCCAGATGAAAGTTTAGAGGGACGGCCGGGTCTTGGTAGATTTGCAGTGGTCTGATACTCCTTCCATTTCAATATGATTGCTTGCACAGTGCTCCTTGG